GGTGCGAGAGCCCATAGGTGTACGAACCGACGTCCGCTATGTGATCGGTGAATACGCGCGGATTAGTATAGGCGATAGGAGAGGCACTTACGGTCATAGTAGTATGTGACGCGCCGTTTGGACATAGCAAAACGTGACGGCGGACTCGGCGGGGGGATGAGGAGTACGAGGAGAGTGTCGCGGCAGCGTCGCACTCAACGCGGGCAAGATTGTGCCGGCCCGGTGTCTCCGGGCTTCACAGCGTCATCGCGCGCCAGCTTTGGTGGCGGCGTGCGGCAAGCGACCTGGCTTGCGTTGAACCGTTCATCTTCTTACCACCATCTTTGCACGCTTCTGTCTTCCTGAGAACCTTGTGCTGCATCAAAGGAAACTGTTCTGGCACTACAGGAAAGAAAACATGGGCTCTGTCGCTTCGAAACCTGCACGCAAGCTGGCCAGAGCACCCCCCGCATGGGCTGGTGCTAGAACACCCAGTACGGGAGAACAAGCACCAGCTTCTAGATACCCCACGCCTCGGGCGAGTGAGATCAAGGACGAGAGTAAGCAGCATTGGCACACAAATCAAGGCCGGGGTTGAGGCGTGGCTGTAGGTATCGAGCAAGACTCTAAAGACCCTCACTTTATGGCGAACCTAAGTAGGCTCGGTCAAGTCAGGGTAGACCACCACATGCAGACTATTAAACCAGCAAGTCCTATCTCCAAGGCGTACATTCACTTTTACTGATTGGTTTTCAGGCCGTGGACCGGGCACAACGCCTTTTCCAGACGCGTCTCCAGTCGGAAGACGAAGCACGCTCTGCACGCCCGCCTCATAATCATCTTGTGGCCGGTGCCCTTATCGACCTTCTCGAAGAGCGAAAATACGTCTCCACGCCAAAGGATTTGATTCAGCTTGCAAACAAGTACGATATTGATCATAAGAAGGTAGAGAATTTAGCACGTTACGTGAACAGTGTTAGCATACACCAAGATTCGGTCAAAAGATGGGTCAGCGACGATGGCGAGGAAAGGACGACAATGATCGTGAGTGCGAATGCATGGCTTATCGCAAGTTCTTGTTTTAAATCCATTCCGTAGGCCACCTGGATCGACCCTAAGGTCCAAGAAGAGAGACTTCAGCTTGGCTCCGGTCGCTAAACTGTGACAGGAACGTTGCAGCCACGATTACTGTGTACTCTACTAATGGATATGGAATATAAAAGACAAAGTCTATGTCGTTGTGGGTTCGTTCCCTTTTGATGCTATTCACTCTTCTTGGCCTCAAAGTACTATGCTGAACGGACGAGTGTAGATTAATTCACTTATGACTACTACCCTGCACCACCTACCTATACGTACTTAAGTAAAGACCTAGGCCCCGGAGCGTATACGGATACCGTTGACCATTCTAGTACATGATAAAGCACTCGCTCGGTAACTCCCTTCCAACGAACCCATATAAAACCAAGTCGGCAAATAATACCTAAACCCTGGAAATCTGGTGAAGGCCCTATCTGAGGGCAGCTTACGCCATGGTCGACAAAGGCAACACCTCATCCCCCTCCTTCCCTACTCCATCTGCGACTGCATTCGGCCGTTTGCGCTGCAAGCGAGCTTTCAGGATGCCCAGCAAAGTCAGCACCACTTCGCCAGCGACACCGGCCATGGCGGCATGCAGAGGGTCCAGTGTTTCCGTCAAGTCGTTGTCGCCAGAGAAGAACCAAAATATCTTGCATCCAATGGGTCCGGCGAGGAGACGCGGCGCGTACTTCATGAATGCAAGCGCATAGCGGTTCTTGGGCGTGATACGCTTTACGAACTCGTTCGCGGGGGCGGTGCTCCCCTCGAGCACGGTGCGGTCGAACGTGAGCGGAAAGGATAGTAAGAAGACGAGGAACTGGGGGAGATTCACGACGAACGCGCCAATCCCGGCGAAGATCATGGTGTCGTCCAAGCGGCATCGTACGAAGGTGTCGTCCACGGACACGGGGAAGGTGTAACGGAGAAGGATGTGTCCGAACACGATGGTACCCCAATGGGAGAGCGCCATAAAGAAGCAGGCAAGCGCGACTACGAAGATTAGGCTCAAGCCACAGAGTCGCATTGTGCGTTGGAGGGTGCCAAGCACGTGGGGATATGTTTCAATCCATTTGGTGGCGGCTTGGGCGCGGAGACGTGAACTCCAAGAGGTCAGACAGCCTATCGTTAACATGTGAAAGGGCTGGGAGGACGAATACGTTGGATGACTTTCTACTTCGCCGACCGGACTCTTGTCACTGGCATCGTGCATCTGAAATAATTTCGAGCCACCATCAGGAGCCACCAGCGGGACAGTCGAAGATGTCTCTAAATCCAGTCCGGCTTCGAGATCTAACAGTTCACGTTAGTGCCTTGGATCAGCTTTCATAGCCTAGCGCTGGTACCTTTGACGTCCATGAGTCCGAGGCGGCTGAAGTGCTTGCCACTCCACGAAACTGACTAGGTGCACACAGGGATGCGCCGGCTTGTCGGCAGCAGACCTAGATCCAACGGGACGAAGTTGTGCCGGAACTTTCGCTAGGAGCTATGGTTGTAGATTTGGAACCGCCCTGGTACTACTAGTTGAGTCGTAATGACCTAGTAGTATCAACTTGAGAGTCAGAGTTCCTCGGTGCTACTAAGTATATATTGGGAGCAGAGTAGTTGCAACTCCCACGCATGGGCCACCTGATCATCACAGATAAGCAAGCTAATAAGGCTGCCATAGTACCCCCCTTTGGCAGCCTAATAAGCCTGGAAAGCCGTACGCCCACATACTGCCAGTTGCACGGCACACTATGAACATCCCTACCTTGTAAAGTAACGAGTCCCTCTACCTAAATAAGGCCGCACGCGCCGCCCTCTGATAACAAGAGATCAAGAGATCTTTACGATCTAAATAGATAAGGCCCGCGCGCGCGCCGAGCGTTGAGTACATCGCGCGCCTACGAATTGCCGCGCGCCCAAGTGGGCGCTATTGTCTCGCGCGACGCCGCCGGTGGGCGCTCGTCGTCTCCACCAGCGCCGACGCGTCCCAAATCTGGTAAGTGACCGCCCTGGCTCCCGACTCTTCGTCCCGGCTGGCTCATATCTCCCCCTCTGTTCAACCAATCTGCTCCGTTCTTTTTGCATTGTATTCGCATTATAATGGGCTATAATTAGCGCCGATTCCGATACTTATATCTGTACTGGCTCTATCTATATATTGAATAACAGTTGTGTAGTCTTCAGGGAGCATAGAACGGTGTCCCCTCATACCCCAACCTCAGGGTAGCATATGAAATATGCAGCCCCATGTAGTAGTAGTCCATGGACGTTGACTCAAAAAGATTTGGAGCCTATTTATGGATAGAATGGGGAGTTGTCAGTGGGCATCCTCGTGATGCACATAGCTTGCAGAGGTCGCTCCTCCCGAATGTCCCGTGCTGGCGCGTTAAGGCGCGCATCTACCATTGCGTTATACACTGTCTAAAACACCATATATGAGCACTTGAGGGCCCCTAGACCCTCGTAGCAGAATGGACATGTGAACATGCACAAAGGGCATGTTTTTGACGAAGAATTGCTATTCTATATCCATGCCCCCATCACACTGCTAGGAACATAGTACCATTGAATGGGGGTAGCATACACGCATCGAACGAGCCCTTAATGATGGTTTTAAGCTCAGAACTCGAGGAGATATGTGCTGGAGAGTGTTGAGGAGCCCCATCAGTGCAAGAATTGCAGTGGATTTTCGTTCACAACCTTGCAATCAAGCTACCTTCCGGGGGTCATTAAGCTATATCTCCTCGAGTTCTGAGCTTAAAACCATCATTAAGGGCTCGTTCGATGCGTGTATGCTACCCCCATTCAATGGTACTATGTTCCTAGCAGTGTGATGGGGGCATGGATATAGAATAGCAATTCTTCGTCAAAAACATGCCCTTTGTGCATGTTCACATGTCCATTCTGCTACGAGGGTCTAGGGGCCCTCAAGTGCTCATATATGGTGTTTTAGACAGTGTATAACGCAATGGTAGATGCGCGCCTTAACGCGCCAGCACGGGACATTCGGGAGGAGCGACCTCTGCAAGCTATGTGCATCACGAGGATGCCCACTGACAACTCCCCATTCTATCCATAAATAGGCTCCAAATCTTTTTGAGTCAACGTCCATGGACTACTACTACATGGGGCTGCATATTTCATATGCTACCCTGAGGTTGGGGTATGAGGGGACACCGTTCTATGCTCCCTGAAGACTACACAACTGTTATTCAATATATAGATAGAGCCAGTACAGATATAAGTATCGGAATCGGCGCTAATTATAGCCCATTATAATGCGAATACAATGCAAAAAGAACGGAGCAGATTGGTTGAACAGAGGGGGAGATATGAGCCAGCCGGGACGAAGAGTCGGGAGCCAGGGCGGTCACTTACCAGATTTGGGACGCGTCGGCGCTGGTGGAGACGACGAGCGCCCACCGGCGGCGTCGCGCGAGACAATAGCGCCCACTTGGGCGCGCGGCAATTCGTAGGCGCGCGATGTACTCAACGCTCGGCGCGCGCGCGGGCCTTATCTATTTAGATCGTAAAGATCTCTTGATCTCTTGTTATCAGAGGGCGGCGCGTGCGGCCTTATTTAGGTAGAGGGACTCGTTACTTTACAAGGTAGGGATGTTCATAGTGTGCCGTGCAACTGGCAGTATGTGGGCGTACGGCTTTCCAGGCTTATTAGGCTGCCAAAGGGGGGTACTATGGCAGCCTTATTAGCTTGCTTATCTGTGATGATCAGGTGGCATGGGCGCTTATTTGCGACACGCGGGAATCATTTACTTCTATGTATGGAAAGTAAACAATCGTCGCCCGACGCAAAGTATCCTTCGAGCCAGGATCGAACCAGTTTATTTTCTCTCAATCATTTTCGGATAATATTGGGGGGGAGCCAAAAAAGTGATTATATCAGTGTGTATAGTCTATAAGAATCGAGGTCTACAATCCTTACCCGGTGTAAAATATCCTTCGAGCCGGGTTCGAACCAGCGACCTTGAGATGCCTATGCGTAACCAATTACAGTCTCACGCTCTTCCAACTGAGCTATCGAAGGCTGGAATAATAGTGCCTATGCCACATAATGACTAAAGGTCTTCCGATCCCCAATGGCAATTATACGCAGCACTACAAGGTATACTATAAGTCTGTAACAACGTTCATCTAACTACGACGCGCGCCGGCCGCAACGAGCCCGACTCCGAGACTTCGGCGAGCCGCCTTTTCTCTCTCGTTCGCCACCCTAGCGCAAGTGTCCTCAACTCTAAAAAATTGGCATATCTAAACCCGACTACTAAAGTGCTATGCTGCGGGGAGCTACGCGTGTTCTGAAAAAATCTCCTGCTACCTCGGTACGGGCTGCTGGCAGGCGACCACTTCACTCCCAGCGTGCACGCGCTTCCTCGCGCGCAACAACCTTGGCCTTGTCCTCTGCCTTTGTGGCAGTAGCCGGAACTGCCTTATATGTCTCTACCGCCGATGATACTGTACACAACGACGCGCCGTCGACTTCGAAAACCCGCACACAAGTGAAGGAAGGGGCAAGGAATGTAGACGCCGAACTCACCACCCTGGTATGGGGCGCGAACGGGTAAGTGTGCCCCAAGCCCAATGTTGTGCATGCGTAGTCATCCATTCACAGGGCACATACCTTGGACGGAGAACTCCCCGAGTCTGTTCGTCTTCCCTCATCCTCTGAATGGTTCAACAATGTCGCGCTCCGTGACCTGGCTATACACGAACAGCACGCGGCATGCGTCGATGCAAGAGGGGATGTGTATCAGTGGGGCGACGGTTTCTCCGGCAACAGCTCTGGGTCGTCGCACGCGAAACCGCGTCTGACCCTTCGAGGGAAGGTATGATACACTTCGACGAGGTTATCAGAAGATGTTGAACTTATGCTGTTTTCGTCAGAACATAACACAACTCCAGGTCACACGTTCCCGCGTCTTTGCGCTTTCTGCTTCAGGAAGGATCTATGTAATGTCGTCTCGTCAGGCGGATCAAGCTCTTGCTGCTGGCACGCCGACTCCCGCGAGCACGCCGTGGTGGGGGACCGGATGGCTCTGGGGAGAAGAAGAAGAAGTTGACTTCGTTGAAGTGACCTCTAACGAGAAGTTAAAGCGAGGCGAAAAGTGCGTACATAACACGTTTACTCCATGTGCGAGCGCGGCTTCATCTCTGTGCTACAGGTTCGTTCAAATTTCCGCAGGGTTGGACCACATGCTTGCTCTCACGTCCGAAGGCCGTACATTCGCGCATCCCATCACGCTTAACGCAAACTCGCACGGCCAGCTTGGGTTCCGTAAATGTGACGTCCCTGCCCCCGCCGACCTCGAGGACGCCCGACTCCCGCACAAACACCCCCGCGTTCCCCTCGAGCTAACGCCCAAGTCCACCGCAGATCCGTATGCAAAGTCTAGCCCCGCAATTCGACCCGCTGGCTCAACGACGAGGAATGTCGGGGCCTTCATAGGCAGAGAAGCCGCGGCCGCTGGGCTAGACGACTCCAACATCCGTTTCTCTGATAAGCTTTTCGAGGTGCCGGCACTAAGAGGCGTGAACGTTGAACGCGTTGCCGCCGGAGGCCGGAGCAGCTTCGCGAAAACCTCCACGGGCAAAGTCCTCGGCTGGGGCGCAAACGAGTTCGGGTAGGCGATCTCGAGAGGCCCTTGAACGTGTACTTGTCTCTGATAGGTCCTGTTGCAGGCAAATCGGGCTTGGTGCAAACGTGACACTCGAGGCCATCACGGTGCCTACGGAGGTCATCCTGTGGCGGTCGACCCCGGCGACAATGCGGACAACATGCGTTGACGTCTTTGCCGGTAAGTACTGTGCCTGTTGCAACCAAGGACGGCGCTCACGCGGCTGTAGGCGGCGACCTCACCATGTTTGAAGTCGAGCGTGCGGACGGCTCGGGGATGCCGTCTATCGACGTTCTAGCATGCGGGAACGGCCAGTGGGGTGGCCTGGGTAACGCACTTTATAGCAATGCGCAAGGCACTCCCGTCCGCGCCAAGAACGTCAGCGGACTCTTCGAATGTAAGCGACCTTATATTAATGACCTCTTACGAGGAGCTGACATCACTGCTCATGTAGACAGCGAGAGGGCAAACAACCTGCAGGCCATAGTGCCCGAGACTATCTCTATATCTCCCACCGGCCATGTTCTACTGACGCTCGACACTAGGAAGCACGCCGGGCCTGGCGGTGGAGGCAAGGACGTAGTCGTGTGGGGTGCCAACTTCGACTACCAGCTAGGGAACGGCAAGCGGGGCAGTGTGCCGACGCCGACCGTGCTCCTAACTCCCGCGGGCGAGCGGTTCATGCTTTCGCGGAAGAAGGCCAAGGAAGTCCGTGACCTGCGCGGACAAGTGTGGAAAAACGGCGTCGAGGTGGAACAGCGGGCGGTGGCAGGCTGGAACAACTCCGTCGTTTATTGGCGGATCTGCTCGTAGGGCTCCGTGGGATCTGGGTCGCAGGGAGCCGCGGGTTGTTCCCGCGGTCGGACATGGCGGGCCTGTAATTCCACTGATAGGAAGGCTATTGTTGTATGGCGGCAGCAAATTCAATGGCGTTCTGTCGGAATGACCGCAGATGGTAGGCAGTGCGCTGGGAGACGAGCGGGCGATCTGTCGATGCGGAAGGACTTGGGAACGGAGTCGGAGACTATCAGATGTGCGGTACAAAAGCGAGCGGCCCATTTCCTTGCGCGCGCACCTCATGTCCTGACTCTCATCTGCCTGCCTTCTCCATCTCGCCTCGCGTCGTCGTAGCTCGTCATTGTCCCCTCGAGGCTGTCTGTTTCAAGCTGGCCTGATCGCCAGACCCTCTCGACCGGGCCCTCGTGTCTTGGGGTGCAACATTCCTATCTATCTCACAGACCGGCCCCATATAGCAGCTACCCAGGCGGTCCTCGGCCTCCCAACTTTTCCCCTCCGTTCCCTCCCTTTCACCTTCCCTCACTCTCTTTGCGGAAGCTATCATGTCCTCGCCCTTCCGCGCGCTCTCCCCGGGCTCGTCGCTCTCGTCCTACGACTACTTCTCGTCCCACTCGCGTAGCATCTCGCAGGATACTGCGTCCTCCGGCGAGTCCGACTCCTACGGCACCGTCTCGGACGATGCCTCTTCTGACGACGAGATCGTCCTCTCATTTTCCGACATATCCTCCCTCGAGGTCCTCTCACAACTGCCCGATGGCCCACGCACCCCCGGAGTGTTCTCCGACGATGAGTTTGTGATCATGAGCCGCCCGCGCACCCCGCGCGAAGACGACCTCGTAACGTCCTTCTCCGCGCTTTCTTTCGCTGCTTCCAGTGCGCGATCCCAGCCGCGGTCGTCGCGGTCGAACAGCACGAAGAGCTCGCCATCGTCAAAGAGCTCGCGGCGGCGCGTGAAGAAGAAGCGGGCGGCCGCTCCTGCGCCTGACAACGGCGTCGCGCCATCGTCCCCGAGCTCGACCAAGGCCATCGCCAAGGCGTCCAAGGAATCGCTGAAGTCCCAGAGCCCCACAAAGGTCCGCAGGAGGGCGAAGAGAGCTGCCGCTCGCGCAGCCGCTGCGGGGAGCCCGAACGTCGCAGGCCTCGGCGACCGCCCCATCGTCGACGACGTATCGGAGGCCGGGTCCGAGTACCCGAGCGTGTACGTGCCGCCGAGTGTGTATGAGAGCGCACAGAGCTATGTGTCGTCGTATGTTCCCTCTGCTTCTCATGGCAAGGCTGATATTAAGGGGTTCCGCCACGCTTGTGCAGGGTTCTCTCCGCCGACCCGACGGTGCAGAAGGGAGCGTCGAAGCTCGCATTCCTCCAGGCCCTCATCATCGAGCTAGGCCTCTACTCCTCCGTGTCCGCACAAATGACCGGGCCGGCTTCCCACTCGTCGTTCTTCTCGCTGCCCTCGTTACCAAGCTCCCTTCGCGCCGCAAAGGCGCTCTTGAAGTCGCAAGCGTTCCTCAACGTCCGCGACTATCTTGCCGTGCGCTCGCAGGGCATCGACGCGCTCCGCAGCGTCATGCACCCCAACCGCTCCGCGCTCCTGCGCGATATTCGCAGCGGGAGAAAGACTCCCGTCAAGTCGGTCAAGGAGAGCGGCCTGAGCGTCCTTCTCGTTACTTGCTACCGGTAACCGTCCGGCTTTTCACGCCGGGGCCCATCTTGGCCTCCATACGCCAACACCACACGTTCGTTCCGTGCACAAATGCGCCTTGCACCTCCTCGTGGACGATCTTGGCCCATCCCGGTAATCATTCGTTACTTCCCCTGCGCCTATGACGACTCGGCGTCGCCCCCGCCTCTCATTACGCCCTTCTCGCACCTTCCTCTCTTGCACCGTGGACGAAACTGACGCCCATCCCCGCCCATCCCCGCCCATCTGCCCAGTGTACAATATTGTAACATCATTGCACTCCTTCGCCTCTGCTTCGTGTACCTATGTTCTAGCCTGTGTATCCGCCTCCCCTCTTTGAGCGCTATCCACCTTGCGCTTTGCTTCCCCGTCGACTTTGTTTAGAGTGTACGATATGCTAGTTCTCAAGCGAATGAAGATATCCGAGTCTCCGTAACATCATCCAATAGGTGCCCTCAAGCTGTCAGTATAGACAGTATTCAGTATCACCTGCCAGAGCATTGTGAGCTATATACGACAACGATAACGTACGTCCACAATCCGCGACAGATCCACAATCCCAGCTACCTCCATACCTGAATACGCTCAACGCAATTGGATGGGTGGCACAGCTCGATATTGTGGTTCGCAACACCCCATACATTACGCATAGAGTACAGCAACATCGATCGCACGGCCGGAAACCCTAGCGGTATTGTAATGTGGGAAAGAGATAAACGAGATGCGTTCGGTTACGGGGCGAGAAAAGACGGAAGAAATGGGTATACAACGGAGTCCATGTGTTCTATCATGATGTCCCGTCAACGGGGCGTAAGCCGCAACCGTTTGCAGAACGCTGGCCGACGCGACCCAGACAGAACGCGTCAGGGAGCGAGGGCTCAGTTGGCCTGGGCGCCGGCGATCATGATCTCGGCGAGACCGAGGAACGCCTGG